TGTGGGAGACGTGACGGAACCGGCGTCGGTATGTTTTACGATAGAAATCTCAAACATTCGTGCACATACGCAGCAAAATTTGCTAAGCGTTGAGTGATCGCTTAGATCAAAGCTCGCAGCTTCACCACACATCCCCACTGTGAGTGTGTCAGGATCGAATATACCTCCCTGTTGAATCGAGGACGACCACCGCCTGTGGTATCCACAAACGAACAAACACTTTCTGAGAAAGTCTGAAGAGGCGTGTCAGTTGACACGCCTCACCGCGTGTTGCTCGCTATCAGCGGCCCGTTGACGTATATAGAAGGAGGAGAGGTAAAGTGACATTTACTATTATAGCCAATAGGTTTTTAGCCTCACTTACCTGATAAGTAGTTCCAGTTGTGATACGACAGAACAGAAATAGGAATTTCAACTAAGCAGGGTGTACACTTGATGTGAGATATACAAATTATGTGGTCCACACTACATGTGTATTAGGACCTGGCCCATTACAACTGGATTGCACTTAACTTCCTGTGGCGTGGGTCGAATGGTCAATGCTTCTGGACCTTACGCTGTGTGGCGCGGGTTCGAGCCCCTCAGCGGACAAAATCCGTAATCGTACCAGACCGCAAAATATTACCGACAACAGCCAATAAGGACTTCGGGATGGCGACTCGTACAAATAAATCAAATATTAAAAATCAAGAAAAATACCCCAGCGGAATAAAGCAATGTAATATTCTAGTCAGGGCCGAGTAGGTATAGCCGTGTAATAAGATAATACACAGCAATTTTCAACTGGATTGCACTTAACGCATAATGCGGCAACGAGCAGGATTGTCATGAGACACGTAAACAATCTACTGAAGATGAAACGCCTATTTTGGTGCAATCGACCACCTTCACTCATTCAAAGGGTTTGCTGCATTTGGGTGCTTAACTCTATCACGCCACCAATCTTCAACTGAGCCGTGTCAAAGCCCCTACATTTGCTTTAGTAAATAAGGAGCTGCACGGCTAGCAACGACGTCAGAGATCCACTAAATTCCCTCTTGTTACCTTCGATTGCCGGGTACGTGGCTAGGTATAAAGTAGGCAGCTGAAGTGTGGCCGGTAGATACAATAATCTCCAATTTGAAATAGTTTTCTTTCCGGAGCACTATGTATTCTTAGACACATCAATGATGCGGTGCGATTCGTAATTAACTGATTTGTTGATATTAACACAGATCATAAAAGCAATTGCAAACTTTTCTGACCCAAACAGAGAATTTCTTTGTCGCATTTAAGCGGATATGTAGTGGCTTCTAAAAAATATCAATAACTCCGTATCAATACATATGTGTGAATAATCGATACGTGGACCACATTGCTGGATGGCATCTGTGTCAACCGCAATGCGCGTGACGCATGGGCTGGTGCGTTGGTCTCCGTGCAGTCTATACCTGGCATCTGCAGACAGCAACACTCTAGTCATTCGAGATGCTTTCTCGCTTCAAATTATACAACGCTACTCGACGTTGGGTGCGATACAGATGCTGTCCTGGTCTGAAGACTCCCAGTTCGTATTGACCGCCTCACTCAAACGCGCTGTGGTGCAGCTCTGGTCTGTGCAAGATGCGTCTTGGAATTGCAAAATTTCAGAAGGTATGGCTGGACTTGTTTACGCAAGATGGACACCCGATGTACGCCACGTTATGACAGTGTCCGATTTTCAGCTACACGCGACCGTATGGTCCCTTGAGGATCCGACAACCCGCTGCTCCATCCGTAATCCAAAACTAGCAGCCGACGGTATTAAATTTACAAAGAATGGGTTATTTCTGGCAGTACTGGAGCGACACGACTGCAAAGACTCCATCAGCATTTATAGCTGTGAGAGCTGGGAGCACACGGTTCATTTCTCCGTCGACAGCTACGACTGCGCCGAAATTGCATGGTCATCCGATAACGCGTACGTATAAAATAAGGAATGAAAAAGAATCTGATTGAAACATTTTTTGTCACAGGACAATCGCTGTGCGGGATACCAACTTGGAATTCAGACTTTTGGTTTATTCGCTCGATGGGACGCTTTTGACAAAGTACAAGGTACAGATCAATAGAAAACGTGCCTTACAAATAAATAGAAATGGATAAAATAATCGGCATGGCAGGCTTATGAAAACGCTTTGGGCTTGAAGAGTATGGCGTGGTCGGCGTCAGGCCAGTTTCTTGCGCTTGAAAGTTTCGACAATCACTTGCGTGTGCTGAGTCATGTCAATTGGAAACCTGTTGCGGACTTTGATCACGAAAGTATTGCCGTCACGACATCACATGCAAATCACGCAGCGGTAATATACAAGTTGAAGTTGTTTGCAAGAATCTGACTAATTTTATTTCATTTGCCTTGCAGATCGAATACGAAGAAAGCTTCGTGGATAGTGTCTTGAATCGACCGCAAGGAAAGCGTGTTGCTGTGACACAGCGAAAATCTGCACTGCTATCAAATTCGTTGCAGGCTGCTTCCGCGGCCTCACAGGCTGCCGGCGGCAAAAAGACTCGTAACATTTGTTTTGTGACACGAAAGCCACCCTTTTCCGTTCGCACGATCAGCTCCAATCCATTGTATGCAAAGTATATTCAATGCTTGCACTTCTGTAGATACACTGACGCAGCGATTTGCTATAACTGGCAGATCAGAGAGTCCGAAAATTGGCAAAAATCAGGTTCTTTGGAGTGCTGACTCTTCATATCTTGCTAGCAAATGTGATCAAATGCCGTACAATGTGTGGATTTGGCAAACAGAGACTTTACAATTGCATTCGGTTGTATCGCTACTCGAGTCGGTCCGCAGTTTTCGATGGGACCCCACTCACACGCGTCTTGCAATCACATCTGGAGTAAACCGTGTATATATGTGGACAACCGAAGGCGTTTCATGGATTGACATACCTTCTGGTACGTATTTATCGCAACACTTCGTCTACTTCCGGGCCTCTCTTGACTACTTCGTTTTATTGTCTGGTAGAATCGTTTCAAGCGCTGAGTCTTCAATGGGCACCATCTGGAGATGCTTTTATTGTTATTGATCGTCAGAGTTGTTGCCTCATGACGCTTTAACCAAATTTTGGTTTATTGTCTTCAATGCATGCTTTGCTTTAAAGCCACATGTGACGTTACTGGAAAAGCTACTTCACCACAATTGCTTTCATTTGATAACAAAAAGCAAATCGTGCGGGGAGACAAGTTCATCACCTGGTGGATTTGTGAGTACATGTTGTGGAGAATATGCGGTACTGGCACTTCGATAAATTCCTAGCGTCATCGTGTTCTATAATTACAACAAGGTGTGAAAGGACTTTTCGAGTGAGCAAGACGAAATCTGTACTCACCTCATTCTGGAGCAAACCTTCTACAAGCAGTGCATAAGGACGAAAATGATATCTTTCCGGTGCCGGAATTTGAGATAAGCGATGCCGCGATCTCTGTACCCGATTCGGCATCTTCATACTCATGTTTCCACTGATAACAAGTTGTGTCACCATTTCGATCATAAGTTGCTGGTTTGCACATGAGCCCATAAGAGCATCCATGATATTTGAGAAGTAAATATGGCCAGAAGCGTATAATGGGCTATAAAACGAGCTGTCCAAAAATTTGACGTCCTTCAGCAGATCACGTTGGTGTGGCTCGTTCGCTGCTGCCTTTGCATCAAATAAAGATCCATTTCGATCGATGAGAAATTTCACATTACTAGGGCGTATCATTTCAGCAACAATAAATGGCGTTGGTCGCGTTCGATTAAGCTGCAATCTTGACGCCTCGTTCTGCAACGCTTCACTAATAAATCGATGCGTTGTTATGGCGTCAACGTCTGCCATGTTCTCATCCATACCCTCTTGATCATTTTCACCGTCCACGCTATTGGTGTTTTCCATCCCACAATATGACATGATCAAAATACTCCGCGCATAAAGTATCCGAGCCGTGTGAAAGACGTGCATACTGAGTGGTGATCCACGCACAAAGTATAAGCGCTCATGCAATTGGTGTGCCCTTAAATCTTTCTCCTGCAGAGTCCGCTGCGTTATGAATATCAAACCAGCAACCTTTTCATTCAGATCACTAAGATTGGCGAGAAAGTCTTCGTAGTTGCTGGGGATACCGCACACAACATAATGGTCGCTCAGTGTTGTAGGTGGTGCGTCGCGCCGAAAGCAAAGAGACATATGACGGATTCGCGATCGTAGGTTTCCACTATTAGCAATGGATGGTCTGAGGAGAGAAGTTAATTCCAAATTTGAAGTGTGATACTCGTCTTCTTCTGTGATGTGTTCTGAAACCTGCACTAGAGCATCAGGTTGGTGCAGATCTTTCGTCAAACCATTTTCACTGCGCGTAGCAGCGCCAGCCAAGGTAGAGTCTTCATGTTCGACAATTTTTCGCGCAGTTACGTTTCCAGAACTGGGGCTTGGTGTTAGTCCTGGTGAGTGTTCACTCAGTTTTCTGGACAAGTATTTATCGCTTGAATGCACACTTTTATTTTGCGTAGTGTATTCTGTGAAACTCCTAGCACTTTTTGCACTGTTAGCACTCAACAAACGTCGGCCTGAAACAGATTTGACCCCGAAAAAATCTTTCGCCTGATCACGCGGTGTGGTGTCACTTTCCATGAGCTCGGGTGGGGTCAAAGCAATGAGTGGATTTGCTGGCTTCGGCATAATTTGATCCGGTAAGTCGGTTGTGTCCG